CAACTCCCAGAGTTCCTCAGCCAGCTGGCTGAGGAACTCTGGGAGTTGAAGTCCACAGGTCTTAAAGTTGCCAAGGTTGGAGACCACTGATCTACTCTGTTGCATGTGGTTGACTATTTCCTAAAAGATGGGCACTATTTCAAAGGAAGCCTTGGGCTGCAATGCTCGGTCGTTGTTATTTGTGAGAATGCCTATAGAACCAACATATGGCTCACAGACATTCTTGGAAATAAAGATGACGCTATAGCTGTGCCTTGCCCTGTAATATGTCAGCATGAATATGTTTAAATTAATAAAACGTAACAAAAGGACAGGCAGATCAGAGAGCCTGGCTGGCACTAAGGCAATAATCCACTGGTATGTTTCCAAACCCTTATTCTATTTGTGTACACCAACTTGTGGATTTCTCTTTTGCCAAGGTTGTGACATGTTCCTTAAGCTCTAATATATAGCTCATTCAAAACAAGCCAAGAGTCCCTTCAATGATCAAGCAAGTCCTTTGTAAACTTTAGGTTCCACTGCTAACATCTCGATTGATCATACTACTCGACATTGTTCCATTAAAAAAAGAATGGACTAAATGGAATGAACATGATTTGGAGGTTCATATGAAGGTATCTATTGGGTCTAGAACAGAGGTGGTATTTAACCAGTTCTAACAGATCTTGGAGAAATTTTGAGTAGTTTGGAGAACCAGCAAATAGGCTGGCCCCGCCCCCACTGCCTCCCAGCTTCTTTTCTTGCCCTGGAAAGCAGGTTAGTGGGGTGGGGATTTTGTAGTAACCTTCCCGCAGAGTGGAGAGGGAATGGGGATATTGCAGTAACCTTCCTCTGCCACGCCCACAAAGCCATGCCCACAGAACCAGTAGTAAATCCCGCCACTGGTCTAGACGCAGAATCGACTGCCATGGTAGGTGGGATGAGCACAATTCCTATCACCACATTTAACCAGGGGAAAAAAACCCCAAAACTACTTCATAAAGTCAGTTCATCTGTTTTTCCTCTGAATCCATTTTATCATTGCTCACCATCAAGGGAGTATCTATAATAAACAAATGATATCTTAGATTCTCTTAGCACACAGAACGGTCCCTTTAGGGCTTCTTTGAGGTTCATGGGGTTTGTGCCTAATGTTCTGTGCAAAACACCAGTTCACGATATTTTCTGGTGAGATGATTGGGCAAATTCGGGAAAACTGGTTTGTGTTGTCCTCTCCCCCCTTTCTCCCTAGTAGCTCCAGAATAGTGTATCCAAGCAGTCCACCCATTTCTGATCTTCTGTATGGCTACCCTTCCCTCCTTATAGCTGCGGCTAATGTCCTTGGCTTTTTCTTCCTCATACTTCTTCTGAATCACTTCTATACAGAAGAATCGTGCTTTCGTCTATATCCAAAAACAAACCTACTTTGCCTCATTCTTTGTATGAACTAAAATATCTGAAATATTTTTTTAGTTTAGATACCAGTCATCTGAAAACATCTGCTAAATTCACAGAGCAATTCATATGCATAACATTTGCATAATCAACCTATCTTCCAGTCTTTTTCCACCCATCTCTCTCCTTAAATCAATCAATCATTCATTCATTCATTCATTCATTCATTCATACACACACACACACACACACACACACACACACACACACACATAAATACAGTCAGATAGATAGATAAATATGTTTGAATGTTGAATGT